TACATTAATTGATGTTAATTAAGTGGGTCAGGTGCATGTAGACTTTCCAATATGCAATAGGTCTCTCAAGGATATAAGGTCTCTTATGGAGATATAAGTAGGCCTTTTTGGCACTTGAGTCAAAGCTCTGTTTCTAGAGCAGGTCTGTTTCTAGAGTAGGGAAACTCCCCAACTTCTTGTAAGGTGGTAATGCAAAAACTAAATTTTTCAAAGAGACATCATGAACCAGTGGTTCAGTGTTTACATGTAAGAGACCTTGGGGGAAAAATAGTTCTGGCATTGGTCCTGTTACAAACTGACGTAGAGCTTTCCTGATGTCAGTTTAGATAATGTTTAATGACTCTTGACTGTTCTTTGCAATGAACTACCTTTCAAAAAGTAACCTTTTACTTGGAAGAGAAGCTACTAGCTTAGGAACAGCAAGAACAAGATCTGCTTTCATACAACTAGGCAATATTTTAGTAGCTGTTGTTGGTTTCAGTAAGCCTACCTGTTTGCTAGAGGGAGCTTTAGTAAACTGCTCTGATCTGGAAGCCATCCCTTAGCCAGAAGGGCTTATTGGTAAAAAGGAATACGACACATATTGCTGATCAGCTTGCTAATTGTGTCAGCTTTCTGTTCAAGACAAGTATACGTGTGATTAGACCCTGGTCCAAGAACAATACTCTATTTTGCAGGTACTGTAGAAGTTAAAATGGATGAACACCCTCGACACGGGAGCAACTTGGAAACAATGGCAAAGTTAAAGCCATGTTTTCTGAAGGATGGAACTGGGACAGTAACAGCAGCTAATGCTTCAGGTTGGTCAATCTGTCTCAACACAAAAACAGAATAGTAGCTGCGTGCAGCTTGGAGGTCTGTGTGAGGGATTTGGCTTCAGTGTGGCTACTGCCGAATATGTTTTCGGGGAATGGCAGTGTATTTGACATTATAGGTCAAACTCGAGTGTGGCGACTCAGGATGAGATGGCTTTGCTTGCTTTCTCTTGTGAAGCAGTGCAAGTGTTTGGAGATAACAATAAAATCTGAGGTTGGAACAAATAGAAATGACATCTTTTCCATAAAAAAAACAAGCCCGTAGTGGTGTGTTTAATATTAAAAGTTAAGACAAAGAAAAAGCTAATGATTCCTTTTTGAAAATGTTATCGCTGTGGACTAACTCCTGCTACAGGCAGCATAGATATTTCCATGTCAGTCCTTATGCTGCTGCTTGCAAAGTCAGCTTGATAGAGTTGATATCCCTATCCTTCAGATTATGTCTCAGTTCTTGCACGTATTGCTTTCTTAATGAAAATCACAAACATGTCACATTACTCAAAATTAGTAACTTTGGGAGTATACTTGGGGAGCGTGTGTATATCATTGGTCAGATTCTGCTGATTTAAAGAGCTCCAGCTGACTTAAACCAGTAAAAGTTTTGTGATTTTCGTTTTTCTTTTGTTAGTTTTGCATAAATTATGAATTTACACAAGCAGAAAAATGTACTATAATAAAACTATGAGCCTCCCTCCCAATACTCTTTTTTTTTTTTTTTAACAGGCATAAATGATGGAGCTGCAGCTGTAGTTCTTATGAAGAAATCAGAAGCTGCTAGGAGAGGTCTTACACCGTTGGCCCAGATTGTATCTTGGGCTCAGACAGGTTTAGACCCATCCGTAATGGGAGTAGGACCCATTAGAGCAATAAAGCAAGCTGTAAGTAATTATCTAATTACTATTAGGAGAAAAAAAAAAGTTTGAAATCTCTATTCATTGACTGGCCATTATTTTTTTTTCTTTGTCCTAAGGAAAACTTTATAGAAAAAATAAGTGAAAGCAAGCTTTTAAAAAGCAGAGTAGGTAAGACTTAGACTACCACTGTTACTCAGGCCCGGTGCCCATTCATTGAAAATTTTTAAATGTACATGAATAGAGTTCAGAAAATAAACTAGCCAAGTTTGGAGAAAGCCTTATAGATATACCCTGAGAGGCTAAAGGTCAAATTTTAGGAATGTCTGTGTAAAACAAATTGAGGGATGATTTGGTCTTGCCATGAGATGACTTTTCATATCGCCCTCTTGATTGCATTTGTAGTAGTGCAGCGCTGAGAGAGATCAGCGAGTGCACCTACATCAGCAAATCTGATGGTATCCTGTGCTGGGTTTTGCATGGGAGATGCAGTCCTGGAGAGCATCTCCTCCTTTAGTTTCACCTGAAAGGAATCCTGCTCACGTGCTCCAACAGCTCTGCAGTGCAAACCCCACTGATTACTAACCCAGGTGCAGAGCAGGGCTCCCATCCCTGACTTTCCGTGGAGGAGACGCACCAGCCGGGCGGGCCAGTTGTGAACTACAGTTGCTGCAAAAGGTTCTGCTGACAAACACTGTCATTAGAAACAAAGCGAGCAGAGGTTAAACTCCTAAGTAGGTGCAGGTTTAGGCACGTTTCACCTAGGTAGGCTCTTGCACCGTGGAACAGCTTCTCCCGTGAAACCATTAAGCTTGACCATCTTGGAGAAGAACCGTGAAAAGTTTAAATGGAAAAATTTCAGCTGAATGGCAGGAGAGACTGGACCGATTACATGTGACAACCTACAACTAATGGTCATTTCACTATTTCCTATAAAGAAGCTTGTGGTAAACACTGAAAATCTCTTATGAGAATGACACAGAGTTAGATAATTGAGAGAAATGCTGCTTTTGGTAGCTTAAAAAGTACTTGTAAACACGCTTCTCAAATTATTCTAATACTGACACTGTATGTGGCTTGGTGGTTGCAACCGCAACAGTACCAGTGGGCATGATGTAAAATTGAGTTTTTTAAGAGTAGCCACCAAGTTGTACCTAGTTTTTGTAACACGCTGGAATTTTGCCTGTTGTCTTCAAGAATCTATGAATAAACTCAATTCCTATTTGCTTCACCTTTCTAAGAGCGAGCAGTTTAGGTCAGCTGTAACTTAAAGCTCATGAAAAGTTCCCTTGAGTACTGAGAAAATAAAGCCTTTGCTTATTTTGTTTGCAGGTTGCCAAAGCTGGCTGGACTCTGGACCAAGTTGACTTGTTTGAAATTAATGAAGCTTTTGCAGCAGTATCTGCTGCAGTAACAAAAGAACTGCAAATAAATCCAGAAAAGGTAATAAATATACCAGGTATCTTAAGTAGTTTGTCTTCCATAAATTGAAGTAATTCCCTTCTGGGCCTCCTGGAAGGTATTCAAAGCTAAGAGGTGAGAGCACTCCTCTGGTACTGACTTTGCCATAAGCAAAAAGGATGGGAATTGCAGCAGGCAGCCAGGGGTAGTACTCTGCTGCAGTTTTGCTTTGCTCATGGGCAGTTTCCTAACAGCACATGCTACAACATTGTTACAGTAAATCTGAATGCGTGGGTAGGTAACAGCTTGAGTGCTTTTATTAGCGTCAGAATTTGAATTTACTGTTGGCGACTTGCATGCAACCCTCCCCTCCCAACTTTCCCATCAACTAACCCCTATCATCTTCAGCTAAGAAGGGTATTTGACTAGATGCGCTCTTTTGAAAAAGAGTAGAAAAGGATTTAACAGCTGTTAAAATTTTCCTTAAGATAGTGCTAGTGGTTTGAGCCATAGTCACCTTTGGGATCTTCCCCGTTAAGTTCTGCACGGTGACTGGAGCAATTTCACCCCCTGACCCTGTGCATCGTCCTCTCTTTCAGGTTAACATCCAGGGGGGAGCCATTGCCCTGGGCCACCCTCTTGGGGCCTCAGGCTGCCGCATCCTGGTCACTCTGCTCTACGCCTTGGAACGCACAGGTGGAAAATACGGTGTTGCTGCGCTGTGCGTTGGAGGTGGCATGGGAATAGCTATGTGTGTCGAGCGATGACTGTACAGGGTATGAACCCCCTGAGGCTTGAAGGGTTTTGGTTTACTAATAAACTGTCAAGAGGACTACTTCTGCGGTTTTTCCCTTCCTCCCTCTCCCCCCTACCCGTCTTAAAGGTACTGGATCATTTTTTGCCAGTGAAAGTAGTGATCATGCAATAAACTGTCAAGAGGACTACATCTGCGGTTTTTCCCTTCTTCCCTCTCCCCCCCGCCAGTCTTAAAGGTACTGGATCATTTTTTTGCCAGTGAAAGTAGTGATCATGGTTCCACCTACAATTAGATGGTACAGTACAGGCTAATTACTACCACAGCTAGAAATTAAGTTTTCAACCCAACCCACCTCATTTTCACTCTGGGTTTTTGAAGACTAATTCATTCACAATAAATAGCAGCAGCTTTCAAGCATGTGTTTTATTAACATAGTTACATTTTCCATTCTTGTAAGCTATGCAAACATAAATAAAACCTAAGTTATTCTTCAAGAGCTCCAGAGTGAACTGCATCCTCATAGCACCCTCTATCTTCTTTAGTTTCAGGGTGCAGTTTAATGAGATCATCAATTCGAAGAATGGTGATTGCAGCTTCTGTTGCAAACTTTAAACTTTTAGTTTTGACCATGGTTGGCTCAAAGACTCCGGCTTGCTTGTTATCACGAGGTTTTCCATTGATCAAGTCCAGACCAATCCTGAAAAAAGGCAATACTATAATCAGAGGGAGAGGTAGAAATAAATTGGGCTTTATCAACACAGTGAAGTAGATGTAAACTATTGCTGAACTCTTTCAATCATTACTCCGCACACAAATCCTTAAGTAAAATACTAAGACAACTTTTCTAAGATACCACTCGCTTTACTCCAAACTAGACTACCCCTACTTGCCATTTCAGATTTTTGCGATCCGGATTAACTTGAGCCTCATTATGGAATGCTCTCAGCTTCGCAACAAGATCTGTGGCATCCTGAGCAGCATTTACTGCCAATGTGTTTGGAATGATCAAGAGGGACCTTGCAAATTCTGCTATTGCAAGTTGCTCACGTGATCCCTACAAAGAGGAAAGAGATTTTAAACCAACTGCTGCAGCACAAGAGGAAAAAACAGCCATGATTGAGAAGGTCAGGAGGCAGAAGTTTTTAAAACAAGACTTGTTTTAGGCCAGAGAACCCCACAGTATAAATATGAAAACGAGAGAGAAGATTCATATCATTTTAGAGTAGGATCTTACATTCTATAAGCACAGCACTGACTCCTAGTACAAGTATTTGAAAATTCACATTAGGAAAACTGCCCCAGTTTAACATATATAAATGGTTAATTTGAGCATGACTTACCATGCTTGTTGCATAATTTTCAAGGTATATTGAGAGGGCTGCCTCTACAGCACCACCCCCTGGGACAACAGATTTAGATTCCAACACCCTTTTAACAACACAGAGTGCATCATGTATAGACCGTTCCATTTCATCGCACATGAAGTCATTAGCTCCTCGTAAAATAATGGATGCTGAAGTACGAGCCTTCGTGCTGTCAAAAAGAAAGCAGAAGTTAGTTAAGTGAAGAGGATATAATTAAAACTCTTCTTGCCATTATTTTCCCCTTTTTAAACAAAGTCTGGTGGCACCAAATTCTTCAAACATGTAGGACAAAACCTTAATATTATGCCACACTGAAGGATCTGCACATTGTAACCTAGCCAGTCAAGAGCCTGAAATACAAGAACCGAGCTGGCTTTCAGGATTTTGAAGAAAAATACCTGACAATGTATGACTGTCAAGACATTTTCAACAAAATAAGTAGGGAACAAATAGTATTAGAAAAGCTAAACACTTTGTTATTTATGGTGTCAGGACGTTTGGGGATGGCATAGAGAGCACAGGAGACATTAAAAATCCCTTTCACAACCCAGCAATCAAGTGAGCTAAGGACAGCTCTGCGCAAGTGCCACTGCCAGGAGAGTCCACTCTGACACGCAGTGGAGAAGGTAATATGCAGCTACGCTCAGGTTAAACTTTGATACTCCAGTGTCCAGATACCAGACAGCACTGGCACATTACAACCTTTAATGGAATATACAGTGTGCCAAGGGAGTTGGTAATTATTGCTCCTCTTGAGCAATGAAGTCAAAGTAATATTCTATGATATTATTCTGATGGTATTTACTTCTCTTTATTATTTGTAAAGAGAATCCAACAGGACAATAATGTTAAAATCTCTATCAATTTAACAGCATTTTACTGCACAGCATTTAGATAAAATAACATCCCCCCTCCCCACTCCAACACAAAATTTTAAATAAAGCCTCTGCAACCTGACATTCTGGTTCATGACAGAGCTGTCCAGCCCCAGCAAGAGAGATGAAACACTGATATTTTCATCTCTAATTTGCAGGGAACTTTATTGTAGTCTTTCCCATGCGTATAACTCCTCATACCACTGACAAAGCATGGAAGCAAATAAATGGGATTTAGCTCCAAACTTAATTGACATTATACACAAAATTAAACATTCTAAAAGAGGTTCTTACTTCTTGATTAAAATCAGCTCATTGTCACAGATTCTCTCCTGAATCACCTCTTCTGCCTGTCCCAACATTAGGGCCTCAAAACTCTCCTCTCCTTCAAGGTTGGCAAGGGTTGAACATATGGTTGCTTAAAAAAAAAAAAAAAAAGTGAAAAAGACTAGCATTCTATTTCAACAAACTCTGCCACCTTTAGGCATACAGAAAGAAAAGCAAGAACAGAAAAGCATCATAAGTAGATTTGCAGGTTTTCCCCAAGTAAAGAACATTAGCTTGTAGGTAGAAATTCAGTTTTCTGCACTTATAACCAGTACTGCTGTCCTTAATTAACTTCTATTGTTTTTATTTCCACAACTAGTATAAGTTTCTGTACTTTACTAAAATAAAAATCCTTTCTTACAAGTTTGAGAGTTGTTATAAAAAAAAAAAGTATCAACAGAGCAGGAAGTGACTAAAAACATCTGTTTGTGACCAGAGGATTTTTTGGTGGGTATTTGATGTTTTACAAGTTGTTTGTCCTAAACTGTCTATAAAAGGTACATAACACAACAAAAATTCACTCTCCATAAACACAGGCTTATGAAAGTGTGCCTAATAGAGACTCATGAACTACTACACTGTAGTCCCTATTCCCTCCAAAAGAGAGCCTGCCCAATGCAAGGCATCCTTTCTTCTCTTTATCATCATCTGCAATCATCTCCCACAGTGCCACTTTGACAGACCACTGACTTAACAGCAACAGTGAAATCAGAGCCTAACAAAAGCAGCTACCTCTGCCCATCTTCTCCCTGAAATTCCCCAAATGTATACACTGCAGTGTCTCGCATATTAAGAAAATCTGTTAACAATTCCCTAACAGCAGCTAATCCTTATGAATAAAATTACTGGGATTCCTCCACCCATACCTCCCGATGCCTTTGCAATGCGCTTAAGATCCTTTTTCACAACTCTGCGCACGGCCATGGCGCCAGCATCAACAAAGTATTTCAGGCACATGTCATCGATGCCTCCAGTGGTCAGAATAACGTTGGCACCAGTGGCCAGAATCTTCTGGATCCTTTCTTTTGTAATGTCTGACTCTCTGCAAGGACAATGTCGAAGCTGTAAAAACGATTTAAAATCTTGCCATCACATTCTTCCGTCAATTTTCTGAAACCTTAGAGCACAACTCTGCCAGAAGAAGAAACTCTGAAACTGACTTTGTTCTAGAGTCCTGTGTCTACTGTGAAGTATTGTACAGTTATTATCTACTCTTACCAAGTAGTATTGACATTTAAAACATTTTTACTTCTTGTGCTCAGTTGTAAGTACAAGCCACCTGAACAGAGGAGACCAAAGCAAAAGCCCATGAAACCCCATGAGCTTCCTAGGCTTCCACATACCTCTGCCTTATCTGATCCAGCTTCTCTGGGTCAGAGATAACAACCTGAACACCAAGCTTCATTTTAGCTTTCTGCAGGCTGAAGTCCAAGCATGCAATCTTTGCATTAACTATTCTCTTGGTCATACCTGTGGAGAGAGTAAGAAAGATTTTTGTCAAACTGTTTTAACACAAAAAAGGCAAAACAAAACAAGCTAGCATCAGAAAACAAAAGTAGTATTACTTTTGTATTTTTACTGTGTGCCTTCTCAAATTTGGCACTATTACAGAAATGTACTAACAAAAACTTTGGAAGAGAGAAAATACCTTTCAGTTCCTACTAAAATGTTACTTTTTATAGACACCTTCCCCCAGCCCCTCAAATGACCATGATGAGCTGACTCAGTGTCACATCCTTGAAGTTATCTAATCACAACATAGCTCTGCTAAACATATGTTTCTCTACAAACTTCACAGCAGCTCCCTCAAGGAGGTACTGATGTTCCAGAAGATTGCAGAATTACTTGCTGATGTTAAACACAGAAACTGCTTATGATGGAATTGCAGCCAGCCAGATATTCTTGGTGTCACAGACCAAAAGGATGAGGAAAGGCTCTGTTTTTTTTTTTTTTTTTAAATAAGAATCCCCAACTACTGTACTAATGCCTGTAAAATTCTGCCAGGCTTGACATGCAGTGCAAGGAAGCTTCATTACACTGTTCACTGCCTGATGTAACAGAGCTCCTGCACCAAGACAGCTCAGTTACCTGCCATCTTTACCATCCACTAATGAGCTGGCACAATCCTAGCTCAGGAGCTACTAGGGAAAGGGTAACATCTGTTTTGGTTACTTGTTCTGGAACTAAGAGCTCACATGACTTTCGCAACTAACAAAGTCAGTAGGAAAATCCATGTAGAAGGACTGAAATGACCCGTGTCTCCACGAAACGCGGCACGTTCTTACCCTGCGAGCCCACCACGCAGTTCAGAGCGTAACCGTTCACAAGAATACTTTCTTTCTGACTGCGTCCGTGTGCCTTCAAAACATTAACTGAGTTGATTGGATACCGAGCCTGGCCCTTCTGGTCTGTGTATTTAACTGCCAGAGCAGCATCCACCACCATATTGGCAAAGAAATCACCATCACTAAAATGCTGTTAAGGCTAAACTTAATAATAATAATAAAAATGTGTGTATATATAAAAGCATGTACGTGTACATATACAAATGAACCGCAAAAAGCTATGAGAGTTTTATTTTTCTATCACAATATACTTTACCATTCCCCTAAGGGAATGAGTACTTTTAAATGTGAAAAACTGATGTGAAAATTAAGACAGGCTACTGTGATGGAACCTTTTTTATTTTACCTACTTTCTGTTCCTTAACAAAAATATCTATGCTATGATTAAGCTGTATTCGCTTTCTAGCACAAAGACTTAACTACCCAGTAAAATGCAACCTTCCCTCCAGTATTTTCACTCCACAGGTACTTGATTTCTGCAATGCATTCTTCCGTTCACCCAATTCCCCTGCCAGTGTCACTAACATGCAACACAGTAAGTAAACAATCAATCCACCATGAGATTATGGCATGTGTGTCTATCCAGGTTTAAACAGTTTGTATGTGGACATTTTCCCATGCCAGACTTTGAACCTCTGTGAAAAGTCCTATGCAACCACACTATAAAATGATGGATTAACTCCCAACTACAGAAACTGCTGCAAGGGAATCTAGCCTCACTACTCAAGCTCTCCAGACAACCATTCTCTTTAAATAACTTAAGCAAGTTAAAGGATACATTCCTATTATCTTGGAGGACATTGATGTTTTAGCAGCGTTAATTAGGCACTCTCTGCCCAATTCATCTGTGTTAATAATGAGATTTTCATTGATGTAGCGAACTGCTTCTCTGTAGAATAAAAGCAAGTACTGTTAAAGAAAACCATTCCCACAAAGGATGAGAATCTTGCAAGTTGTCAAACCCCCTAAATATTATCTGAAAGAATACATAAATGAAAGGCAATTTATCCTCTGGGACAGTAAATATGACATTTTAATCTAGAGGAAAAAAAATGAAATCACAGTACTTAAAAAAAAAAAAAAAAAAAGCACACTTCAGATGTACTAAGTTCTTACTTGCAAGCAAGTCGATATCCACCAATAATAGAGGTAGGATGTATTTTCTGTTTGACTAGTTCATCTGCATTTTTCAGAAGCTCTGCAGCAATAATCACCTGTTTAAAATACAAACACTGAATACATGTGTTCCACACAAGCAAAGTAAGTACCTGTCTTCAGTGAGTGGTAAATAAAATCGCAAAGGGTTGTCCTACGTCTACTCAGTGGTAAAAAGTACTTTCAACTTGATATTGCAAGTAGTTTCCAATCGCAGGAAAAAAAAACCCACCTGATTTTTTTCCTCTCTTTCATCAACTATTTAATGGCTCACAAATTATCACAAGTCTTGGGCAAGGTTTTAGTACTTAGAATCCTTATTTATTAGCCCAACTATCTTTTGATTGCTCTTGCTGGTTAAACATTCAGAGCATCAACTGAGATGTCCTATCCTCAAACTTAAAAGAATGGAAGACATGAATAATGACACTGCATTGGATGAAGACCATTCCAGACCACCAGTTACATGGAAATAGTATGGAAAACTAGTATCCCTAAAATACCAGTCAAATTTATTATTTCGTAATCCACTTTATAAAATCAGCTTGCACTCAGAGAACTAAATAGTTTTCTCGTTCTATATAGTTAATCCTGATTACATCACGATTCCTGATAGATTCATAACAAATTAAGAGTTGCATTTTTGTTATGAAACAGGGACTTTTGCATCTCTGCCTGTAAAACTCTGTACATACCACGGAAGTGGTCCCATCTCCAACTTCTTTGTCTTGCAGGTCTGCCAGCTCACAAAGAACTTTTGCAGCAGGATGTTCTACTTCCAGCAGTTTCAGAATAGTTGCACCATCATTAGTAATGGTGACATCCTGATTTTCAAGAGTCAAATGTTAGTACTAAGTTGATTTCTATTTTTCTTCTATTATATTGACGTTAAGCTCTTTTATTTATGCAACACCAGAGGGTCTCAAAGCATTTGTGAATAAAAACAGGAGATAATTAGTGAAAACCATGGCTATGGGTTTACTTGAATTCATAGAAATGCGTTACCTCTCTTCCTGCAGCAATGGAGGTATACAAATCTACACCACTAACAGGCTTCACTTTAACAGTAGCATTCATTCCTATGTTACCAAGTATTGCCTAACAAATTTTCTATGCATAAAAAGGAACCAATTTTAGTATTTTATTACATTAAATTACAGCAAAACAATGTAACAAAAAATCATGTGACAGCTAGTAGGCTAGCTGTCTACAGTTGTTCTTTTCCTTCCCTGCCATGGACAGAAGATATATGTATGTGCACGTTAAATCTGTGAAACACTTGAAGTGGAAACGCTCTGTTCAGGTATACAAGCCATCCTGACACTTTCTCCTTAGAGAAAGATTACTTACCCCAATATCATCCACCAACATCTTATCCAGACCAACTGGCCCAAGAGAACTCTTCACTATATTGGCAATGGCAGATGCAGCAGTAACTGCATGAATGAAATAAAACAGGTTATTTCCCTGAAAATTCACAGGGAGTCAGGCTTAGAAAACAGTGTGTCAGGAACCCACACTTAAGAAAACTGAAGTACATTTAACATAATTTAGCTGCAAACAGCTTGATGCTGCTTAAGAACACAATGTGCCACTCCTCGCTTTTCTATCCAAATAGATTATGCTCACTAAGATGACATAAAAAACACTTCTCAAAAAAGTAGGAATAATTCATGTTGGGTCATAATATTAATGCAGGACACTGCAAAGGTCAGAAGAGCCCTGCCTTGCAGAGATTGGTTGCACAGCTTCTTTTAGTAGCAGCAAGTCTGCTGTGACACTTCATCCACAGCTCCACAAAGAAAGCAGGACACTGGAGTGCACAGGTGCAGAACAAGGGTATTCCCATATATGAACAACTCATCTTTTTTTTACCTCAAACAGGCCTGCGAGTAAAACAAAACACTTATTTGGCATGTTGAAATGATGTTCTGCCAACTTCATATAGGAAAAAGATACAATGAACCTTTTCCTTCAGACCGTGGCAAGTTTTCTCTATCCCACAAGCATAGCCACTTAATCTGCAAAATGAAAAAGTGGTAGTATAATGGGAATAGCCTACTTTGAACGTTGAAGAATATAACCTTTTCTCTTGCTTTGAATGTGCAATGGCAACTTTCGGAAAGCAAAAATCCCTGACATAGTGCAGTTTGTCACTATCATACTATTTCGCAGCCATACAATAGGAACCTTTGTCTTGAACATGCGGTTTTAAAAATCGCATCAAATTCACACAATGATTAAAAGGTAAATTTCACCTACCCCTTTCACCCACTCAAGAACTACCCTGGGAACCGACATTTGCCGACTTGCCCCTAGTCTTGGTTTAAAATCGTGAATAACGTGAGAGACCTGGAGCTACAGGAAGACACGTATCTCGAGGGTCCCCACTCCCAAAGCAGCTACGGAGCAGCACGGATGCCCGTCCGCAGTTCGACTCCACGAGAGGCGGAACAAAAGGCCGGTCTGCAAGCAGCAGCAGCCGCGTTCCCGGGAGCCAAAGGCGCCAGAGGGCCAGGATCGCTCCCTCAGGGGGCGGGTGAGCACATGGCCGCACGCAGGCGGCGCCATGTTGCCTCCTTTCTGTCTCCGCGGTCCCTCCCCCCGCTCTCATGAAGCGCCCGCCCGCGGCCGCTACCGTTCTGGGTGCGGAAGGGGGCGCC